TAGTAGCGATGCCAGGAGCCCCTAGTAGCGTCCTTGTTCCTAGTAGTAAGGTCAGGAGCCCCTAGTAGCGTCCGATCGCTCCTAGTAGCGACGCCAGGAGCCCCTAGTAGCGTCCTTCTTCCTAGTAATAAGGTCAGGAGCCCCTAGTAGCGTCCTTGCTCCTAGTAGTAAGGTCAGGAGCCCCTAGTAGCGTGCGATCGCTCCTAGTAGTAAGGCCAGGAGCCCCTAGTAGCGTCCGATCGCTCCTAGTAGCGATGCCAGGAGCCCCTAGTAGCGTCCTTCTTCCTAGGAATAAGGTCAGGAGCCCCTAGTAGCGTCCGATCGCTCCTAGTAGTAAGGCCGGGAGCCCCTAGTAGCGTCCCATCGCTCCTAGTAGTAAGGCCAGGAGCCCCTAATAGCGTCCGATCGCTCCTAGTAGTAAGGCCAGGAGCCCTAGTATTAGCGTTCTTGTTGTTGTAATTGAAAGTATCTTTCAAGTTTGACGTGTCTTTTTATTGGGATGGTTTTGAATTTCTTCTCCTGAGGTCCGACCGTCCTAGTCCCAATCGTAGTATCTCCTAGTCACTGCCCTTAGATTGATGCACGTCAGAATTTCAGACTTTGGACCTGGCCTCCATGTCGTGGCGCATGTAAACAGTCAGTGAGAAGCTTCACGCGTGATCTTGTAGCAAATGTGAGACGTTTGAAGCTTTGTGATGCTTTATGGTGTTATATACATGTGGAGCTTCATGCAAACTTCTTTAAAACGGCACTTGGGAGAGCAAAAGGGTTGTCAGGCGTGCAGTTTATTAAGCATATTGGTGCAGCCCTTAGGAGGTGTTTTGGGGTAGGAGGCAGCGCCTGCCCAGTAATAGTCATCAAAGCCGCAGCGCACACCCAAGTCGAGACTCAAGGCAGAAAAATCAAAGGCAGGGCACCTCTACTGTAGGCAGCCGCAGTGCAAATCACAGCAAGGCACAGCCAAACTTAATTCGATCAACTTTGTCCAAGTGCAGAAAGACCACAAAACAAACTAAAGGCACAAACGCCAAAGCCAAGAAAGCCACCAATGAGCACCCCAAAAGAAATCAATGAAGGGACCTCACACACATATATACTCCATAGATCTCCATAGTCGTTGTGAAGACCTAGGTCTAGAGGGGATTCAAGGGGCGGGGGATGCAAGGGGCATTAGTAAGGCATAAGAATGTCATGGTTGGAACTTGACCACTCATGACCACTCCAGGTAAGGGGATCAATGGTGCTGTCCGATCTGACTCCACTCGGTGAGGCTTGCTCTCACCTCCGGAAGTTTTGAGACTGCCGGATACCTGATACCTGCCGCGCCTCCACGGCAGCAATCAACCCCTGACGCACTGTGCGACTGCACCGCAATAGCGAGTACCTGGTGGGCGCGAAAACGACAGCGCTGTTCGGCTCTCTGCGCCCAACTGCGTATACGCGTAAGTTTGCCGCGTCAGCTGCGCACAACTCAGGGGTGACCACGCGACGGGTTCGCATCTTGGTGGGCACATTGCCTTGGGGCAACAAAGCTACGAACGGGGCTCCTGGCCTTACTACTAGGAACAAGAAGCTACTAGGAACAAAGGGCATCGCTACTAGGAACAAAGGGCATCGCTACTAGGAGCAAGGATGCTACTAGGGGCCTCCGCCAGTTTCTGCCTCTTTTGCAACACTCTCTCTGCCTATGCCAAAGCAAAGATGGATGTACTCGACTTTGGAAAAGTACTGCACCTGCAAAACGATGTTGACAAAAATTCATGCGGATTGCCAAAATGACAGCTCTGGAGTCTGGAGCTCTAGTTCACACCTTTGAATTATTCACATCCTTCAGGCCCACACCTCGACATCCCAAAGCATGCTTGCCAGGCGGCCACCAAAATCCTTGGATCTAGAGGTGTCCTTCACCTTGCATCCTGCATCATATGCTAACACTGATTACGAATTATCCTGCACTACCTCTGTCAAGGCCACTGGCCACACCATTTTCATACGATAGGTTTCCCCATCTGGTACTTAAATGTCTTAAATTGCTTGGATTCACAAGCCTCGTGCATAAGTGCAGCGGCCTTCAGCTTGCATAAGCGTTGTCACTTATAAAGCCGAGCTTCTGGAGGTGTTGGCCCCCTTGCCTCCAATAGCCTTGCCAGCTCCTCCGCACCAATAAGCCAAAAAACGTGTCTGACACCAATAAATCAAGTACTGAACACTCTACAACTCTAAGAATGCTCCGGAGTGGCGCGAGTCACGAGTACTTAAGAATGGACACCTAAGCCTACTCCTTGTATACCCGCCGGTCCCACTCCTGTGAGACACGGCGCCTCTTCTGAGGTGGCTCGCTCTCGCTTGGGTCCTCCACCATGGAAACAACAAGGAACCTAACCTAGTTCCAAAAGAGGCTGGAGAAGGAAGAAAAAGATAATGAAGGATACAACTTCCAAAAATATCCAAACATTTCTAGGAGCCACTCTCTGCATCCTTGCGCCTAAGAAGCTACTGGTAGTAGTTTAGTAGTAGCCATATGTAGCTACACTTAGTAGCTACTACCTACTGTACCACCCCCCCCGCCTAAACAAAATAGAACTGAGCTTGCCGTTCCTCTACTGCAATGATTCCCAACGAAGGGGTCTAACGAGAAAAACCTGAGTCTACCTGATCCAACAGATCACCATTTCCCTCAGCCCTCTCATTCTAGCTGGAAGGTGCTGCAGTTCCACTCTCGCGTGGCTGGACCAGCCTGCATCTTTCCGCAAAGGCCCAGGTAGGACCTGCAGACCGCTGTCCGTTGTCAAGGCCCGGTGGGAAGAACAAGCTCTGAGATTCTGAGATGACTACAGCGCGCGTGCAGCGCTTGCTACCAAGTACCACACGGAGAACCTACAGGAGGCTGAAGACACTCCTTCTTTGCACAAGCTCGAGCCAAAAATGGGTCCAAAGGGGGCTTCAGTTGCATTGCAGGACCATTGGCGTGGACAAGGTATGTGCTAGTCTTCAATTTTTTCTCCAGGCTGTACTGCTGTTCATGTGCACGGGGCATTAGACCTCTAAAACTGGTATGTCAGCTTGTGGAGAGTTCAAGCTGCAGAATTCATGTTCGAATCCTCTGGTCATCAAATGAGAAGCCTAAGGCCACACTACAAAATGTCTAGCAACTCCAGGATCAAGAAGAGGGCGTGGAAGCAGGTGGAAGTTCATGAACTTTTTGCGTTTCAAGCAGAACGACTCTCCGGTTTGTAGCATCTGCTCAACTCCGACTCTGCCCAATGACTCAACTCTTCAGCTGAACCCACACGATCTCTGGTTCCGACCTAGGTTCCAACCTAGGAGCTACTAGCAGCGTCCTTGCTCCTAGTAGCGATGCCCTTTGCTCCTAGAGCCTCGGTTCCGACCTCTTTTTCCACATCGTCTCCATTCCGGCGATCCCTCCAGCTGAATCTGTCCAGGAAACGTCTGGGCGGCTACTAGTGCTTCGCGCAGTGATCTTTGTCTCATTCATCTTGTTCGTGCATCAACAAGCAGCCACGGATGTGACATGCTTTCTCCTTGTCATATCCAATTATATAAATAGTTCATTCACGCTGCTCAAGACTTGGCTTTAAGTCTGACTTCACACGGTATGGAAGAAAAGGTATATTCAGACATTGAATGAGAATCGCCTCGACGTGCGCCTTGGCTTTCTCAGCCTTTCCAGCTTTGAGAGGCTGCACAGCGACCGGATGGGGCATCGCGCCACAGGGCGCCAAAAATTCGGCCTGCACCAGCCTCATGGGTCTTGCAAGACCCATATCCGTGCATTTCCTCCTACCTTCCATTACTAGCCAGGTCTGTGTGGTTTCACTGTAGTTGGTCCTGGTCAGCTAGTGCAAGCACTTTCAGCCATCTGACAACCACGCGTCATCAGAAGCCCAACTATGGGCACAAATAGCTGAAGACTGGTCTGCCCTTGAGCTTGCCTCTTCCTTTGCATGCGGTTTTCTCGGAATATTTGGTTCCGTCTCCTCAAAGCAGCAGCTGACTCTGGGGCGAAAGACAAATTCTCAACCTGGTCCAGCCGCTAAGCCAATAATTGCAACAAACGCCCTCTGATGGCATCCACTGAATGTTGTTGAATTGGAATGTCAGGTTCAACCGAACTGCTGGGTATTCCATGTGTTCCTATTTTTTCCTCACGTTCCTTTCGCCCAAATATCACCGAAGATATCAAATGGAGAACCCCAAAGGCAGGCCAGCGCAAGTCATTTACAGGGTCTGATCAAGGCTCACGGCCACTGCAAGAAACCAGCCATGAAAACAAACATGTGATTGAACAAAGCACTGATGCAAGGCATGCAAATGCCAAGCGCTCTAGTACTCCAAAGCTCACTTGCCGGAGCCACAAGTCACCTGACATGGCATCATGGACAACTCTATCTTTCCGCACCTGAACTCACTTGAATACCAAATGTTTGACGATGTGGATTTCGATGTATGAGCCTTCCGCTAGCATCCGTCATACTACAGCACATGCGGTGGCCACTGCGCCTCGACCCGCTGGCAGCTTGCATTGAGCCGGCAGTGTGCCTAGACCACCTGCAGAGTAATGGAGAGTAGAATCAACCAGGACTGGTGCTTGATGGCCTTGCGACACTCCAAGATTTGCTTCCAACATGGGAACTTCACTAGCTAGCTTTTGCTTCCACTTGCCCTTCCTATCCTTTGCTGCGGGCTGCTATGCGTTCAAGTCGAGAACGTTATGAGCTCAATAGTTCAATAGGCAATCATTTGACTGACTCAGCAGCCTGTTGCCTACTCACCTTCAGCAAACAGAAAACCAGAGCAAGTCAAGCCGAGACCATTTTTCGCCCAAGTTGCTTGGTCTCAAAGGTCACCTTCTTCTCCCCTCCGCTGATGGTCTTGGTCCTTAGATGCTCAAACTGAAGTCGACCGCTTATAGTCTAGATGTTTCTCAACCTGCCACATTACCGACGTACTTCGACGATTTGCAGGTCGTAAGGGCCAACTCACTGTGTCGGATGGCATGAATCATTAACAGCGTGCTTTCACTATTGCCTTTAAGCCTCGTGTGGCTCCTGTTCTTGTTGCTAATGCAAATCTTGTCCGCTTCTTCTTTGGTCATCTTCTTTATGCCTGGAAGCAAAGACTAAATGAAATGGTCTCCAGCTCCAAGGTGACAAAGGGCCAAGTCCGGCAAAACGAAACATAGAAAAGCGGTTGAAAGCGCAAAGCAACCAAATCGACATTAGCAGTAGCAGATGATGACCTTTCTATTGTTCTGCTTCAACCACTTTGAGACCAATTCCGGAAGACATCTGGAACTGAAGGATGAAAGGCTCTGCGGCTCTGCATTTCGTGGATGTTTCTGGTATGTTCTTAAAGAGTAATGAGTAAAATCTTTTCTGCGAAAAGGCGAGCTATACGTCGTTTCGGCCATGATCACTCACCGAACTGTTGTCTCGATCCCGTCGAATTTCGGAGGTCCGGTGGAAGGCACCTAGTCCACGTCGACCTTGCTTGGTGCGCCACCCGATAATGCCGCCAATTTCGCAGCCGGGGCCCGGGTCGAGGGACACATCTACCTCCATGAATTGGCAATCACTTTTATGAATTGGCAATCACTCGGTCGAGAGATGAGCAAACGATAGCTAAGATAGAATTATGTTGATTCCTGACTGATGGATCTGGCTCCTAGCTCGATCCAAAAGATCAGGGCACAATGAAGACACATGGCTCAAAAGAGAAGCGAGCACTGCAAAGCTAGATCCTTGGGTGTTCAAGCCCTGAACGTGATAACATACCAGCCTTGACAAAGCGCTCGCCTTTCCTGGTCACTACCTGAAAGCAGCCACCCCGCTCAAGTTTGCAGCGATGCTCGAAACGAATTCCGGCAAAAAACCTTCCAACATCTCCGCGAAACACGCCATGTTAAGAGCTTGTTTGGGGCCAAGGCTCACGAAGGCGGCTAGCAAAAACAGGGCTTCAATCACACTCATTTCGTTGGCACTTGTGATTCTCCCCAGTGCAAGTTGGTTGTCGTGCACCAATCCCAGCACTAGTGCCACCCAGATTTCTGAGGGTGACACGTTGTTGTCGCGATAGCGCTCTTGCTGACCCTTCCGTGGAGCAAGTTCTTGAAGGCTCTTGTGGATGTGCTTCCTCAACAAAGGCGAAGAATCGGCGAAGAAGAACGCAGTCCAAGACACTCGACTCTTTCCTCTGTTAGGATGTTAGGCATCAAAACGGAGTTAAAGGTAGAGCCATCAATATCAATCTAGCGAGGCGACTCGCTACCGAACTCATGACATGTCATGGTGAAAGGCTTTCGCGGTGATCACTTTAGGAGGGCATTTTTCGATTAACTAGCTATCCTTCTAAGCCGACTGTGCTTGCTGTACAAAGGCAATTCTGACCTGGAACCCATTCCCACAAAACAGGCCCAAGTTTGTTGCAAGTACACGCATGCCACTACAAGCCCACACTATGAAAATAGGAAATGCAGTATCCGTCAAAGGTTTGGTCATTATTGATTCTCTGCTGCATAGCGTTTGGGACTCAAGCACCAAGGGCTCTTGCAGCCTGCCGTTTTTCTCAGCAGTCTCAGTTTTTGTTTTGAGAGGCAATTTTGGAAATCGTAAATCGTGAATGGACCAAGCATGAGCAAGAGATGAGAACATTAGTGTTCAGTACACCCCCCCGCCCCGCCAAACAAAATAGTATTTCACAAATAATGTTGGGTTAAGATTTTTTTTAATACAAACATTATTTCATGTTCTCAAGATGCTTCCTTGTTCTGATATGTTTGCACCATCCCGTTTTTTCTCACAGTGCATTTACACACATCACACTCTGCTTCAATTTTATTGTATTCTTTTCTGTATGCCTTAATCTCTTCGGGATTTTCAGCAGAGTATCTCTGCTACAACTCTTTTACTTTGTCAGGATTTTTTGCCCTATACCTTCTTCCCTTTTCCAGACATTTGTTGCAACACAGATTTTTGCCAGTAAATTCTTCAATATCTCTTTTAACTTTACAATCGCCACAGCTACGCAGTTGAGTGTTCAGTACATCCATCTCTACTACAGTAAGCTGTTCACCCTTTAAGTATAAATCTCGTCATCTCATCTATTCATCAAAAACATCTAAACAATTTCACCTAGATTTTGTAAAACAATTTTGGTGAAATGTGTTTTTTTATTTATAGCCTAGCAGTTTTTACTGACTGCGATGACGCCCCGTCATTAAAACGAAGAAGCCGTGTCTTCACATCATCACAAAACAGTTTAGCAAAACAGCATCATCGCTTGTCAAACTCCAACAAACCCCAGTTGAAACATCTCACAAAATATCCGAAAACATTTTATAGAGCCTTCCACTGAGCTTTATAGAAGGATTTAGGTGAAGTCCTTTTTTATTACATTGCTTGCTAACTGACGCCCCGTCATCAACAGAAACAATGACGCCCCGTCATTCAATCGAAGACGTTGAGTCATTACAATAAAAACACACTCTGATTGACGTATGTTTCTCAAAAACTCACATAGACGCATCACAAATACAGCAGACATCTCAACAATTTCAGCACCACCTCGCCCATTCTCAAACTATTTCACCTAGATTTTAACAAACAATTTAGGTGAAATGGTTTAATTATACGGTCATACTTTCAAAAGTTTATGACGAAGGAAAGGTCTGTCTCAAGCAAACACCCCAAATTTATTGTCCAATAAATTCGGGAACCCCAGCAGAATAAGAGAAAAACCTGCTAACTTTATCAGGTGATAAGTTGAATTTATCCACCCATAAATTTGCCTTTTTGACACATGTCCACCCTCTTGACTTGCATTCGGCTGAATTTGCACAGCACCCCCTACACTTTTACCATCATAACAGAATGGCATAACATTTCACAACAAAAAAA